AGATATAATAACATCATATGTTCACCTATTATTCATACTAGCTGAGGACTCATTTTCCCAGGGAAATTTAGAATTTTCCAATAATGTGGATGTAGGTGCATTTCTTCATCCTTAATTCTTATATACATTCAAAAGTCCCAAATCAGCTGAACACTTTTAAAAAGTAGAGTTTTTCTAACACTAACATTTTCTAGTTGAGAAGTCTTTTCTTCCATTTAGATGAAGGAGAAAGGCTCATGGGAGCTCTTTTCTCCTGGTATTATCTGTTCTTGGTAATAAACTATGTTTTAGTTCAGGACTAGGCTGTTATGATACTAGAATTTCTCAGAATGAGACAGAAGATATATTTAATCTTACATAGTAACTTGACTTCAAAGAAACTTTGTTTAGCATACAAATATTTACCCTGTCCTAGATTTAGAGGATGCTGGATGAAGAACAACGGATACACTCTTGAGCTGTTTAATATTACAGCTCACACATTTTGATCTGACAAATAAATATCTTCAAGATACCAGAAGTGATTTATAAGTAAGTGGTATTTTTGGCTAATCCTTTTCCTTGTCAAATAATTTATTGGCTAGATAATAATTGTGCAGGGATCAGTAGTCAAGAAACTTGATATCTAGGGCTGGGGTTGTGGCTCATTGGTGGAGTGCTTGCCTTGCATGGGTTCAATTCTCAGCACTGCGTATAGATAAAGGAATAAAATAAAGGTTCATCAACAAGTAAAAAAAAACAATTAAAATAAAGAAACATGAGGGTGCAGAGCTTGTGGCTCAGTGGGAGAGCACTTGCCTAGAATGTGCGAGGTGCTGGGTTCAATCCTCAGCATCACATAAAAATAAATAAATAAAATAAAAATATTGTGTCCAACTATAAAACTTAAAAAATAAATTAAAGAAACATGATATTCAGGCATTTAAAATGATAATCCAAGTGACAAAAGTGGTCTGCTGTGGGCTGTCATGAGTTGATAATTTGAGGACTATACCCATTTCCTGGACTATTTTTTTTATCCTGTTTCTCAGCTTGAGTCACTACTTAAAAGTACTATACAGTGGATGGCTAAATCACAGAAATATATTTCTCATTGTTCTGGAGGCTAGAAGTTCAAAATCAAGGTGTCACTTGCCAATTTTGATTTGTGGATGGACTCTATCTACATCCTCCCATGACAGAGATGGGGGGGGGGAGAGTACCAACTCTCTAATTCTTCTTTTTATAGGGGCATTAATCATACTTATGAGGACTCCACCCACTTAAGCTAATAACTTCTTAACTAACCCTAATTGAAAGAAAATATAATATTTTTTCTTCAATCATCACAAAATTCCCATCTGATGTCCCATAACAATAACAACAACAACAACAACCACCAAAAAGATTAGTTTGAGAAAAGAATACAAAATTAATTTAAAATGTAACTTCTATGTGACATGGGCATTTTAGAGATTAAAAAGCAATTAGACAGGGATCTATATATTTTGATGCTTAAATTTGTGAAGAAGAAACAGGTGTGTAAAAGTAAAGTTGAATAGAGAGAATAAGATCTAATAAACTGGTGGTGGAGAGGGATTTGGCAAGTCCTGTTGTTCAGATTGTTCTTGTTGTCTCTGGGTCTTCAAAGACAAGAAGGATCATTTCCTTAGGAAGAAAGGGCAGGCACCTCAGAAATCACATCCTACTTCAGGAAAGATGAGCTAGCTTTTATGGCCAGTCTCAGGGGAGAAAGGGCAAGAAGAAATTGAGAATGACCTTCTTGCTTCTGTAATTTCTCAAATGCCAAGGTGCCATATCTATGTCCTGAATCTCTTCACCCCAGCTCCAAATTCATCCCACCAGAGATTAGGGTTTCAACATGTGAATTAGGGCGATGTAGACATCCAGAGCACATATTTCATGCTGCAGTGTCTTTGGTGCTGGTAACTACTATTGGTATCAGAACGAGAGTTGATGAAGAAGAAGAAAGTTACTATTTAATTATCTTTCTCAAGTTCATATCCACTTTGAGTCCAGATCACAATCACAAAAGTGAATTTTTTTTTTCTGTGAGTTTTGGAGCACACAGATAAATGGAAGTATGTATGCATGCATATATATAATAAATGTTTAAAGAATAGCCAAGTATTACACAGCTTCAGGCCTACAAAAGCAAGATCAAAGGAATTATTTTATGAATAAATTTAAAAACACATCTCTCAACACCAAAAGGTTTAACTGATTGATTCCAGCTGTCTCATCTTGTGATTGTAAAGACAAAGCTTAACATAGTAGGAGTCAATATCTACTTTATTTATAAAACGTGTAATAGAAATAGATCTCTGACTTTGTGTCAGGGAACATTTTAGATACTTAATAAATATCAATTTATTCCAGTCCTCAGAATAATTCAATTTAGGTATTTAATAGGAAAGTGGGCAAAGAGTTAACAAAGTCAACTCTCCTCAAATAAGGAGATAAAGACAACTTGTAGAGACTAACAAGTTGATATAAGGCAACAGTGAACCAGATCTGTCTAAATTCCAAGTCTCAAGTGTTTGACATTATATTCTATTGATATTTGGGCAAATTAGAGCTGGTGTATGCTCTTGAGTTAATTTAGATTAATAGAGGGAAAGATGATATCCTCAATATTTTTAAAGATTTCCCAGGTTAAGAGAAGAGCAAGAGTACTAGCTTACTGGTAGAGTGCATGCTTAGTGTGCAGGTAGCCACGGATTCAATCTTCAGCAGCAACAAAAAGATCAAGTAAATTAATAAGAATCAACCATACACTTGTGAACATCTTGCCTATGTGCTACTACTTATTAAAAATGTTTTATACCTGAACATGAATAATCTGTTCAAGTTGATTTTTATAGATCAAGATGAAACATAATTATTGCTTTCAAAGGGGATCTTTACTCAAGTATTTTATGTACTAATTTTATTTACCAATTTACTTTATCCCATTGTGTGGGATAATCTTGTAGTTTTGTAGTTTAATCTTGTATTGATATTACAAATTAGATATTGATCCTTCATACAGTAAAAAATATCAGAGATTAAAATTTAATTTTATTCAGTAGTATAATAGTTTTTTTTTTTTCCAATATGTTGTGTAAAAAAAAAAAAAGGTGAATTTTTGAGAGGGGCATTTGGAAAAATATAAAATGTCAACTGTTTTCTAATTCCATATTTGCACCTATAAACTTGATAAAAATTTAGCAATTCAGGTTAATGCCATCCATTTGATTAAAAACTGTGTTTATTAAATCAGATTAAATGTTTGTAGTTTTTGGTAGAATTTTTTTTTTTTGCCTGTATCCTCTTCTGTGACATCTGCTGGCAATATCTGGTATTACAGTACTCCATAATTCACCACCTCCAACTGTCCAATTCTTTTCCAGATAATACCAACTTAACTTAAGGAGCTCAGAGAGATCTTTCACCTAAGAAGAGATGTTATGACATGAGAGCTAATCATGGAAGAGGAAAATTAGCACTCCAGAGGCTGAGGAATTTACATTTATCATGTTATGTATATTTTTTTTTTCATTGTGCTAAAAGAGAGAGAATACTTCCTTTCTTTCTGAAAACCGGAAACTCACTCCATGTGAGAGTATTATGTATGATAATGCTTACTGTTGATGAGTGCCAAATAAACCCTCAGTGACACTGTGTCACTCAAATATTTTCTACAATTTGATAGTAATGTGATAAAATCGGTACATTAAAGTGAAACTGTGCACTCGTACAGTCTAAATCCATATAAAAAATGAATGAACTATACGCAGATCTCTGCACACATGGGGTCCATGGTTATGAAGCAGAATGCATGAGCAAACTTTTTATATTACCAGGAATCCATTTATCCACAGTCCCATCAGTCAAATTCAGATACTTGTTGCCAACTCTAAGATTTATAGGCTGGGGCTGGTTTTTGAAATTGCTTTGTATTTCCATTTAACAGCCAGGGCAGCAGCATGTTAAAAATTTGCCTTGGTCTCCTTGGAGCCTATTTATAAAGCTAATTTGTCTCCCTGGACATTTTTTCCCCCTTCTCTTTCTTTCAAATGCCAGCTCTAGGCTTCTAACCCTTTAAGCCCCCTCCTTTATCTCAAGCAAAATACTGTCATAGACAACCAACGCCGTGGCAGGACAGCAATGATTCCGACAATATAGTCCTCCCGGGCAGCATGCAAACCATCTCGCCTTCTGGCCGGAGATGGATTCACTGCCCTCCCTACAGACACGCAGGCACACACACAGAGCACCGAGAAGTACACATTTACTGTACTGCATGCCGACTGCCTTGAAGAAACTGTAGCTAACCACCTTATTAGTATTCTTGCCTCCACTGTGTCTCACTTGCAGCATCAGAGGGCTGAGCAAAATGCAGTAGAACAGGGACCGACACAGCTCTGGCAATCATCTCAATGCAGGCTGCCGAATGTTGGGGGTGGGGGATGCAGCACATCAAGATTAATAACCTTGCCATAATCCGGGGCACCCTGCAAGCAGACACCTCTGCTGATTGACCCGCTCCTGGCTTGATGCATCTGCTGGGGGGAGAGGGATCCGGAATCCATCTAGTCCTGGCCCCCCCTTGAATCTGGATGTTCTTTTGATCCTCCACAGACCTGGGAAGGTAACAGCGAGCCACACCATCTGCAGCACACAGCAGCTCTTGGAGGTTACTACTGACAGTTTTCATTACACTGGCTTGTTTGAGTGTGTGTGTGTATGTGTGTGTGTGTGTGTGTGTGTGTGTGTATGTGCTTGTGAGTGTGGGTGCCTGCTTTTGCGTGAAAGAGAATATGTGAGTGTCCGTGGTGTGTGTGTGTGTGTGTGTTTGCGTGACAACCAAAGCAGGTATATCGTGCAGTAGGAGATTTCAACAGCGTGAAAATAATCTCGGGGCACTTGGGCTCTCAGTTGTAGCCCCCCCCACCTTCACCACCCCTCCCTTCCTCACTCCCCCTTCTCTTTTTGCCTTTGATGAGTTTTTGGCTTACTTTTTGGCGGAGTCTCTTGGACACGTTTTTTGCTGGTGCTGGAAGATCAGATAAATGGAATCTTTGAAAACTGATTATTTTTCTCCTATGTGACTTAAAAAAAAAAAGAAGAGGAGGAGGAGGAGGAGGAGGAAAAGAAAATAGAGTAGCGCACGACAAGCTAGAGGATTTTAAATTTTCCTGGGTGAACTTTGAGGATTCATCAAGAAGGTAAGTCACGAGACTCTTTAGATCTTAGTCCTTCTTTTCTGTGGTGTTTGTGCTTTCCTGTTTGTTTTTGGAAACCCCTATGCAGTTTTTAAGTGCATTTCTAGAGATTGCAATGCTCAGAAGAACTCAGTGTGTGGCATTTTGGGCTTATTCTCATGCCAAGGAGATTATTTCCATTTGTATGACTCCCTCCCCCCCCCACACACACCTTTTCCCATGTTTATCCCTCTCTCCTTTATCGGACATTTTCACAGTAAATTCTGGATGTATAAAATCTGGGGGAAAATAATTAGTCCAACCTTCTTCTTCCTTGAAATAAATCTCTAAATTTGAGGGGGAAAAAATCAATCAAAAGAGCTGCTGGCAGAGCCTCGGAGGTAGAAGCAAAAGTGAGTGCTCAGAAATCCTGTGGGGGTGGGGTGTGGGGGTGTTATCCGGACTTTTATGATAACTTAATAGTACACCCCCTGTGGCTCCTTTTTTTTTTTTTCCTTGAATAGTTTTATCTGCTCTGGAGAGTAGTGAATGTGTAGAATACAGAAAAGCGGCTTCAACAGATCTTAATTGGAGCAAATGAGAACAAAGTGGAAATTGTTTAGTATTTTGAACCTCACTTTTTTTTGCACTGATTCTCTTGCTATTGCATCTCATTAACCTTTCTGAATGCAGTGTCCCTTGATTAAAACTAGTGTCTGTCAATTTGGAACATCCTCGCACCCTACGAACGCTGTCCCTAGAGAAGGAAGTGTGGTTGCAAATTGTTCTTAATTGTCTATTCTGGGCTGTAAAAGCAAGTGGTATCAGAAATTCAGGTGACTTTAGTCAAACGGCTTGCCTAACTCGGTCTCTTTGGTGTTTCCTGGTGGTTAGCCAGGACTTCATTCTTTTCCCATTTCCTTCAAGTTGAAATGCAGATAATGTTTTGCCTGTCGTGATTCTGAGATTATTTAATTAAAGCAAAGTACCATTTCATTGTGATAACATCTGTGTTCTTGTGTCTTTGTGGGTTTTTTTTTTCCCCTTTCCTTATCTCTGCATTGGAATCACTTAGCTTCTCCCAAGAAGTGAGAATAACTTATAAATAGGTTTCTAAAATGCTCAAACCCCAAGTGGAAGCAATGGAACCTTAGTCTTCCTCAGTCAGGGCATATGAATATGGTTTGTCCTAAGAGAAATGGCGATATTTCATGGAATGATAGCCCACTCCAACTGTTCTTGTGAACATATTCATGGTGGCGATGACAGGTATGTTAACTAGGTAGAGGAGGGCATTCCTAGGTGATTCTTTCCAAGTGTTGACGTCTATATTTAGATAGGAAGAAGGTGAAAATTGCAATATGAGAAATTTATTCAGAGATGATTGAATGCTTTAAAGATTTATGAGATCATCCAAGTTGAGAGATGACAGATATCATACTCAAAACATTGATATTTCTTTTTTGTTTTTTCCCCTACAAGGGAATTACCAAAACAAGAAAAAAAAAAAAAAAGGAGAAACAACTTAGATGAGATTATCCTCCGGAATTAACATGGGCTATCCTTCCTTTAATCTAATGATCTTTGCCTAATGATATTAGGAAAACAACTAACGAAAGACAACTGCTAAAAAGACATCCCACCCCTAACTCAGCCCTATGACTGACTCTTACTCCCTACAGTTCTCCTGATTTAACTAACCAAAAAAAAAAAAAAAAAAATATATATATATATATGGGGGGAGTTGGGACTCTCTCTGAGGTCTTATGAAGTATTTCTGGGTTATTTCTCATAAATTCTATTTACATTTCTCTTATCAAGAAAGGAGGAATTTTGTTTATTTGCTTATTTCACTTTTAAGTAGATTGAACATAAAAGAAAACACAAATAAATTACGATTTTCTTTGTGGAGAAAACAGTCCTGGATACATGAAGCCAGAAGGTGATGGTAATTACATAAATAGGAAACAAAGTTTACTGTATAAGGAGAGAAAAGCCCCTAATGCTTCATGTGCTGATGGGTCATGTCACGTTATGGTATCTGAAACCCCCAGATGCTGGGGGGCAATTGTCATTCCTTAAACTGGTCAGCTCTTCATTTTTTTCCTGCAGTTTTTGATAACTAGCCCCACGTAGAGGACAGTATTTTAGGTCATCTATTTTGTCTCAGATCTGCTCTGAATAAAAAGAAGCCCTTTGAAAATGCCATTCTGGAAGTTGGCAAATTAGTACCTCTTTTCATTGAGGCTATTGAATTTTGACTGTTCCCCCCCTCCACACCCCTTCACATTCTCACCCAGTAGGAGTATATTTAGACTTGTGGTGTTGGCAAAAATTAATTGCAAAGATTATTCTCAACACCATCTCAAAAAAAAAGAGAGATAACATTGGCTTTTGTGTATTTGAGATTTAATAATTGTAATGAGTGAATCTTCTAGCAACAGCAACTCTTTATCACTTATTTCAGGCTAATAATAGAATCGGAGTACAAGCCAAGTTGGGATTTTCTGATTATAGTTCATGCAACGTGCAAAGCAACTCCCCTGTATCTCAAGGTTTCTGATGGTGTTTGCACAACTGTAACTTTGCATCTTTATTTACAGCTCAGTTCAGAGCAATGGTAAATAGCTTTTGATCAGACCTGGTCCCAGATCCATGGCTATCTTTCTTTTGTCTTTTTTGAGTTCTGTTTGGTGGTGAAGAGTGTTTTGAAGTTCAATGAGTTGGTTTTCTTGCTTAAAAGAAATTCAGCAAAGAAAGGTCCAAGTGGTAGTAGAGAACTTCCCTTTAGTTGGGACGACATGTTAGATGTGCTGATGAAGAAGTTGAAGTTCCCCAGAACAAATACATGCCAGGTTATATTTTTAAAGGAATAAATTGGTACAAGGTTGCTTTGAGTTTATTGTGGAGAATAAAGGAAATTCCAATTTCTTCTCTATTTAGTTCCAGTCAGTTGGCAAGCCTTTCTCTGGGTTTGTGCTCAAGTCAAGCAACCAGGCCCAACATTCTCCAGTGTGTTTCTATGTTTTTAAGACCCAGGGCACTTAACACATGAATAGCTCTTTTCCTCTGTAACAAACAGAGCTGACAGCTGGAAAGTCAGCTACTGAGAACCTTTAAAAGAAGCCAAAAAGGTTGCTTAGTAAGTTTAAGAACAGAAAGGGGCTCTGGGAGCTCTGGCCCTGGAGGTAGGTGAGAACCAGGTGGACTTAACTTGAAGTTTTGATTGCTGAGTCATTTCAACAGCCTAGTGGTGTGTATTAGCTCCATGAAGAGTTGAGCTAGTGCTGGCATTGGGGTGAGGATTAACAGGCTGAAATAAACTGTCTACAGCAGAAAATGCATATACTAGGGATGAAGGAAATATGCACTCTGAGGACAGATGCTTTGTGTGGTCTTGGTGTTGGTCTCTGTCACTTAAAACAAATTCTTGGGTTCCTCCAATAAGTCACAAAAGAAAGGATGATTAGTTTATGTATGAATAGGGCAGGGCTTTGAAATAGACGAATTCAACTCATTCAATCATGTGCAATGCAATTTGGGACCACTAAGCTGTCACAGCAAAGGTGGGAGAATGGTGGAGGTTGGGTCATAATCCGGAGAAGGAAAACTGGATTGAGAACCAAATGTCAGTCAAGTACTGACAGTGCTACTTAGAGATTATCAAGTCACTTAAAGACTCTGAACCCTGACTTTCTCCAATATACTTTGGAAGTAAACATTCTTAACTCATAATGTTGTCATGAAGGTTATGAAAAAATGTTGTAGAATGAAATGATCAGTAATTATACACTGCTGTAGGAATGTAAAGTGTTATAGTAATGCTGACTTCATGTATACTTCAATACAATATAAAGTGATTTCTCTGATATGACTTCAAATTAAATTCATTAAAAAGGCTTGGTCTTTTCTTCATGATCAGTGATGAGTATTTTTATTGTGGGAGTTTGGCTGTTTTCCCAAGTGTATCGACTATGCCCCTTCTCAGTAATTTCTGTGATGCATTCTTAGTAAGCTGTGTATATGCATGTTTATATAAAGTATATGATCATATGGGGAAGTGTGCATATGTAAGTAATCGGCCAGTCTCTACGAGGTATAACTTTAGATTCTTGAGGCATGAAACATGTGTAATGACTTGAATCCATTGTCACTGGCAGTGTAGAAAGGACTGGGAAAAAATAAGAAACCTGCCTCTCACCTGTCTTTTTCTATGAAATACAAAAACTTTAGTCCACAATGAAGCTGTTGATTAGAATTTAAGTTAAAGTTGGAAATTGCATAATAATGACACAAGTTGTAATGACTATTATTCTGAGATGCATTCAGGAAACAGACCAGAGTTAGTAGGGTGAATTGAAGATAGTGATAGCAGGAGAATGTGGAGAATGTGGTAGGGAACACTGGTTTTGGAGGTGGACGTACTTGGAACCAGATAATCTCTTGGAGTCTCAGTAATCTAATCTGTAAAACAGCAGCAGTCACTCATAAGAGCTTCTGTGATGAGTTAATAAAAGATTGTGCATAATCTGGTAAAAATCCTTCGCGTACCATTGGAACTCTATAGGTAGTCCATGTCTACTCTTTCACCCCTCTTAATCTGGTTTCATAATTAGAAAGACCTATGTAACTCAGTGTATTTATATCTTTATGCAGGTAGGCAAAATCCCCAAGCATAATCTGAGAGCTAATTAAACTGGAGACAGAAAGCTCTGGTTCTATGAGTTAACTCTTTTTGTGTAACTGGGATTTATCAGACCCTTTCTCAGAGCAGCCTAAGCAGGCTTTCCAGATGTCACTGTACTTATGCTTACAACTTGCTAAATGATACTGAATATAAGTAACGAGAATAATGTGCATCCATCCATATGTGGTTGCAGAAACACAAT